AAATAATAATTCCGTCGGAATTCCGTCGGTTTCCGTCGGAAATTAAAAACCGTCGGAAGTTTTGCCCGTCGGAAATCCGTCGGTGACACGTGTCGTCGGAAATCTGTCGGTGGCACGGGTCGTCGAAAATCCGTCGGTTAGACGGGTCGTCGGAAATCCGTCGGAGGTTCTAACCGTCGGAAATCCGTCGGCAATATTCCGACGGATTTCCGACGGATTCCAGTTATCCCTTTTCCGTCGAAAATTCGTCAGTATTTCCGACGGATTTCCGACGGTTTTAAATTTTCGACGAGATAGAACCGACGGACCAAGAACGTCGGGAAGCCGTCGGAATAGGCCTTATTCCGACGGATTTCCGACGGTTTTGGCCGTCGGAAACGGCCCTATTTTCTTGTAGTGTACAAAGACATTTACGAAAACTTGTAAATGAATATATATATTTAAATGATATGCTATGTTTAATCATGGACCATTATTATGTTAGACAAACTTTTTACTGAAGTTGATGAACATGCACACAAGATTTTAACATTAAGACTAACTTTTCTTTTCAAATAGATTTGTCTTTTTTCAAATAATTTTCTTGTACATGTCTAAAATGGTTCGGTTTCGTAACGTATATTTACTGGGTGCTACAAATTAAGTTTACAATTCAAATTTTCAGATTCCCTCGCAAAGGTTCCACCTAACTTCTATTAAATGCTAATCCTTTTGTATTAACTCACGATTTAGTTGTTTACGCTTGCTCTCGTCACGTCGTAATTCGGTCGCATCCTCATTAAGTTTTTCCACTCGCACCACAAACAAACCGTGTTATTTTCATTGTTATTACGAATTATTTACAATACCTTTGTTTAGGTACCGAAATCATGAAATTTCTTTTGTTTATTTTCTAATTAACTCATTCATAGTAACTTGTTATTTACCAATTTTGTTATTTGTTGTACTTTTTTGTTGGTATTTTAAATGTCGAAAGAGGGAATTGGTTTTGTTCCTGAAGTTTAGAAAAATTTCAGAAACATTAAAAT